AGCAATTGTGGGTCCAGCAGTTAGCATAATGGCTATGTCGCTGAACTCCCATGTGGCCAACTGCGGTTCGAGTCCTGGACCCGGTGGCTTAAACTCATGCTGGGCGTAAGTGCGTGCGTGCCCAAGATCCCGAGAAGAGAATGGAAGAGAAGGGATTGCAGCGTGGCCATCCCCCCTGGTGATGAATTCTCGCTTTCTGTCTCTCTGTCTCTCTCTGTCTGTCTGGCGAGCGCACGTGCCCTATAGCAAAAACCTCTCCAAAAAAAAAATTATATTGAGATATAATTCACATACCATACAATGGTTTTTCATTTATTCACAAAGTGCAGCACTGTCACTACAGTCTATTTTAGAAAATTTTCATCACCTCATAAAGTAGCCTGGGTTTTCAGCCGTCTCCTCCTAGTGTTCCCATCCTTGCCATTTAAATTTTGGAAACGATCTTTGCCCTCCAAAGCAGTCATATCAATTATATTCCCACCAACAGCCTGAGAACCATTTTTCTCATACCCTTCCTGTGTTTCAGAATGATTTATCTTTATCCTCTGGTGAATAAAAAGTAATTTCTTGCTTCAGTTTGCATGTGTCTTATCACCAGTGGTGCTGACCATCTTTTCACATGTTTTCTGGCCATCCATGCCTTTCTCTGTGAATTTGCTGTAGACCTGTTCTAAACACAAGCAGACATACTGATGCTGTATGTTACCCCATCCACCGGTGTAAGACACTTGGACCAAAGGTCAGTATGAAATCAGTTCATCCTGAGTTATAGAGATGAGAGCCCTCCCCAGACAGGGCTGCTGCACCCAGAAATCCACACCTGGGCTCATGCTGCAGTAGGGGTGATAGATTTGATCTACAGGACGAGACTCTGCTTTCTCCCAATGCAGGTAAAATTCTTGCTCCTGTAATTGTCTCAGCTTGACTTTGCCTCAATCCATCAACTATTATTTTTAAATTGACATTCCAGCATCTTTGTTCTGTTCTATGACAATCCCGTCATCTCAGGCTAAGCCTAGCTTTATTTAGATAAATAGATAGATCGATAGATGATAGATAGATAGATATCTTTTTTAATTTATTTTTCTGTTGCTGTAACTGAATCGTACAAACTGGGTCATTTATAAAGAATCAGGTTTATTCCGTTCTGGAGGTTGGAGGTTGAGGGAGCATTTTGCTGGTGAGGACTCTGTAGATGAGCCATCACATGGCAAGAGGGCAAGAACCTGAGTTAGCTCAGGTCTCTCTGTTCCTATAAGCCCATCAGGTATTCATTCATGGGGGCCCCACCCTGATGACCTTGTCTAATCCTAATCAACTCTGCATGACCCCTCTTTTAAAAAAAAAAAAACTTATTATAGGGCACATGCACTAGCTGGAGAGAGAGAGAGAGAGAGTGAGAGAAAGCACTCCCTGGGGGAGATGGTCACACCATAATCTAGTCTCCATTCTCCTCTCAGGATTTGGGGCAGGCACACACACGCGCTCGGTGTGTTTTAGATCTAGCTGTGACCAAGGAGCCCTTGAATTGACTTCCCTTATCAGGTAGAGCTTCTGGTCAGTGTGTGTCCAATGCTAATGACCGTGGATTATTTTTCTGATCATAGCCAGTGACCCCTATGGTGCAGATTGCTATTCACCAGTGCAGATACCAGCTTGGCTATTTTTAAATGAGCACCACCATCTCCGTAGCTTGCCGCCCAGATTGGAGATAGCAGTGGCACCGGATCCGGGTTATAAACGCCATGTGAGCGCACTTCCGCATCCGTGTATGAGTACGTGATCAGTTTCACCTGACCTGGGATAGTAGGCAGCCGTGGCGTTTTTTCCTTCTTGGAGGCAGGTTTGTAGCTCAAGAAGAGAGCTTTCAAACAAAAGCAGTGTCTGCCCCTGCCCACAGCCCAAGTGGGGCACAGACACCAAGGCAGAGCAGCCCTATAGCCGGAGCTCGGTGCCAGAGCCACGGGGGCTGCTGTCACTGCCTGGTGCACTGCCGGCAGCTGGCGCACTTGAAGCAAACCCCAGCTCTGTGACTGGGGGCATTGCCCTGCGAAAGGGTGACTGATGGCCTAGTGGAGCAGAATTATGTGCATAATGCCTCAGGTTTCCTGCGCACCTTATCTGAGGTTGTCCCATTTGGCATTTCATCCAGGAGAGAAGAGCCTTGGGTGTCAGCCCCATCTCTATCCCTATCTCCAGTTTCTGAGAGTTCTCAGCTCTCAACCTTGATGACCTAAGTCCCCTGTGGACCTTGTTAAAAGTTTAGATTCTGAGTTCCTCCCCCACAGGTTCTGATTCACCCAGGATGCACTTAGGTTTCTGCATTTTCTTTTTCTGTCTTATTTATTTTTAAAAAAATTTCTTTGTCATAAGGCGAGTTCACTCTTCAGAGAGAGACAGAGAGAGGGAAAGCAAGGAATCACCACCCTCCCCAGGGGGATGGCCACTCCACAATTCCTCCTCCTCCATTCTTCTCTCAGGATTTTGGGCACATATGTACAAATGCCCAGCATGTTTTTCAGCCACTGGGTCCAGCACTTGAACTCCAGAGTTGGCCATGGGGCAGGGGTGGGGGGGAAGCAGTGCCTTAACCACTAGGCCACCTGCTGGCCTGGTTTCTGCATTTTAAATAAATGCCCTTTTTTTTTTAAGTTTATCGTAGGGCACATGTATGCATCAGAGGGAGAGAGAGCAAGAGTGGGAAAGTGAGAAATCACCCTCCCCAATGGAATGGCCATGCCATGATCCCTTCTCCCCGTTCTCCCCTCAGAATTTTGGGCATGTACACACATGCGCCTAGACTTGAACTGTGCAGTCAGCCGTGTGGGATCCAGCCACCTTAATCCCCGTGTCATCTGCTGGCCAAATACCTAATGGTTTTGCGGTCTGTGGTCCACGGTTCCTCCTAGAAACTGCTCCAGGAGGTCTTGCAATCGGGAGGCCCAAATTCGCCCCAGACACAGTAGTGTGCACTGGACACTGTTGCTTGTCAGGTGAGGCTACACGGGAGGCCCAGGAACATTCCCTGCCCGCTCTAAATCTGGGGTTGATGCACGCCTATAGTCCCAGCTGGCAGGAGGGTGTAAATAAAGGAGACCCTCTGAAATACCACACACACACACACACACACACACACACACACACACAATCCCTAAAGACTTACACAGGCAAGTCTCCAGACATCCTTGGTGCTTGGGCTCCACCTCAGCTTCCGGGGGCCACTGTGAGGCTTGAATAGGGTAGAAAGGAAAGCACTTGACGAACTGTAGCTCCCTAGATTGGAGTTAGCCTGTTTCTTCTGTCCACCTTGCTGGCATAACCCTGGATGTTAACAGGACACGCTCATACCGAGTCCTTTCAGACTCCCCATTTTTTAAGAAAGATCCTCTTCCGATGGAAATTTGCAAGGCAAAGCAACAACCTGGTAACAAACAGGATTGTCAGTACTTGGCCAGGGGACGATCTGGGCCCTGAATAATTTGGAGGGAGTCACTGAGTACCTAGGTTGTGGCCCCATTCCTGAAGACCAACATGGGCCCTTTCTCATTGGGCCTCATTGTAATCCCTAGACCCAGGCACATGTATTTACAGGTACCAATACAGCCCCATTGGCCATGGGTGTGTCACTCTTAAATGTGCTTTCCTCTTCACAGTATAAATCCTTTTTTTTTTTATTACTTTTTACTTTTGTCCAGAGGGTACATGAACTTGCCAGAGAGAGAGAGACAGAGAAAGTGGAAGCACCTCATAATAGGATGTAGTTTTGCTGCACCTTTCTCCTCCATTTTTCCCTCCTCTTAGGATTTTAGACACATGCACATGCTTCTGGCATTTTTTTAAGCTGCTTGATCTGGGATTCAAACTGAAGTTGGTCATGTGGGATCAAGATCCCTTAACCATTGAGTAATGGATCTGGCTCCACAATATAAATTCTTTATTATTATTATTTTAACTTTGCTATTGGGTGTGAATGCCATTTGGACACAGAGAGAGAGAAAGAAAGGGAGAAATCAACCCCCAGGGGGGTGGCCACTCCACAATTCCTCCTCCTCCATTCTTCTCTCAGGATTTTGGGCACATATGTACAAATGCCCAGCATGTTTTTCAGCCACTGGGTCCAGCACTTGAACTCCAGAGTTGGCCATGGGGCAGGGGTGGGGGGGAAGCAGTGCCTTAACCACTAGGCCACCTGCTGGCCTGGTTTCTGCATTTTAAATAAATGCCCTTTTTTTTTTAAGTTTATCGTAGGGCACATGTATGCATCAGAGGGAGAGAGAGCAAGAGTGGGAAAGTGAGAAATCACCCTCCCCAATGGAATGGCCATGCCATGATCCCTTCTCCCCGTTCTCCCCTCAGAATTTTGGGCATGTACACACATGCGCCTAGACTTGAACTGTGCAGTCAGCCGTGTGGGATCCAGCCACCTTAATCCCCGTGTCATCTGCTGGCCAAATACCTAATGGTTTTGCGGTCTGTGGTCCACGGTTCCTCCTAGAAACTGCTCCAGGAGGTCTTGCAATCGGGAGGCCCAAATTCGCCCCAGACACAGTAGTGTGCACTGGACACTGTTGCTTGTCAGGTGAGGCTACACGGGAGGCCCAGGAACATTCCCTGCCCGCTCTAAATCTGGGGTTGATGCACGCCTATAGTCCCAGCTACTCGGGCGACTGAGGCAGGAGGGTGTAATTAAAGGAGACCCTCTGAAATACCACACACACACACACACACACACACACACACACACAATCCCTAAAGACTTACACAGGCAAGTCTCCAGACATCCTTGGTGCTTGGGCTCCACCTCAGCTTCCGGGGGCCACTGTGAGGCTTGAATAGGGTAGAAAGGAAAGCACTTGACGAACTGTAGCTCCCTAGATTGGAGTTAGCCTGTTTCTTCTGTCCACCTTGCTGGCATAACCCTGGATGTTAACAGGACACGCTCATACCGAGTCCTTTCAGACTCCCCATTTTTTAAGAAAGATCTTGTGCTCTCTGTCCAGCCTTCAATACAGCAAAGTGTGAGAAACTACAAAAGGAGAAAGAGGACCTGGAGAGGCGGTTCGAAGACGAGGTGAGGAGGCTGGGCTGGCAGCAGCAGGCCGAGCTGCAGGAGCTGGAGGAGCGGCTGCACGAGGCGGAGATGGCGCGCCTGCAGGAGGAGCACCACGGGCAGCTGCTGCGGATCCGGTGCCAGCACCAGGAGCAGGTCAGTCTGCAGCTCAGTGCTGCCGATGGGCAAGCAGGTGGCAGGGAGAGGGGAGCCAGCGCCTCCTTAGCAAGAAGTCCTATTTAGTAAGTGAGCTTTGTGTAAAGGTCACTCTCTGTCCTGTCCTTCCTTCTCTCCCCTGCCCTGCACCCCTCCATTCTGGGTTCCTTTGCTGTTCCTTAGGACATCTGCACTTGCTGTGTCCTCTGCCTGGAATGCTCTCCCTCCAGACACTGCATGGCTCCCTCTCTCCCTCCCTCCCAGACTTTTCTCCAACATCACCATCTCAGAGGGGGTTTATCTTATCTAAAAAACCCACCACATACACTCTTCCTGCCCCCCGTCCTGCTTTAGTGTTTCCTCAGTGCTTATCACTGGTGAATTTTGCTTTTGTACTGTATCTATTACCTGCACATTCCACGAGGGCAGAGATAATAACAAGCACGCATATGTCTAGCACTCGTTCTGTCCCAGGCAGTGCCTTCACCTCTTTGAATTTACGAGGGGGCTTCAGAAAATGTGTAAAACGAAATTAAAGTATGTGCTTATATTGGTTCAAAAAAATTGAAGTCCATGCATAATATCTTTTGCAGAATATACATTTTTCATAAACTTTTGGAAGACTCCCTCAGACTAACTCTTTTACTCCTCACAATCACCCTGCTGAGATGCCCAGGTTAAGTGGTTTGCTAGAATTCACTGAGCTGGTCATGGAAAAGTCCGGTTGAGTCCAATCTGGCGTGGTGGTTTATGCTGTCAACCACAAATTACATCGTGTGTGGGTTTAATGTTCAGTCTTTGGTACCCAGAACCCCACCCGCACGAGTAGGCACAAAAGACGTATTTATTGAAAGAAAGAGCAATTTCCAAAAGTTAACCGTAGCCAGAAACCTTGCTGGAGAGGGACATTCATCCACGGACTAACTAGAGAGGAATTCCCAGGGAGCCCATCATGGTAAAAGCAGGTGTGAGCTGGACAAGCCTATCCACGGCCCACTGCCTTGGTCCACCTCTGGCATCAGTGCTGAGAGACAGGTGGGCTGAGACAGCAAACCAACTCTGCTTCCCTGAGACCTGCACTTTCTTTTCTTTCCAAGTTGCCAAGTTCTGATACCTTAATGGCCACTTTCTTTTTTTTTTTTTTTTTTTTTTTTTTTTTTTTAGGGGGTTTTTTTAT